GTGTGAGAGAAGGAACCAGTTATCAGGGGAAACATTCAGCAAGAACATTTGCCAGCTGATATGATAATGATGACGATTTATTGCCAAAATTCGTAATTTTGAAGGTCGTTTACAACAAGGTTATAAATTAGTAGGTGCTAAAACGCTTTGTTAATTACTATTCAATTAAACTGTGCAGCGTTAATACCAAATAGACAGTCGAGGCTATGCTACAAAGCGAGAGGAACTGGCAAGCTGTCTCCTCTTTCTGGGAAGCTGTCATGCTCGCTAAGGAGGAGTCGGAACACATGAGGGAACTATCCGCCTCACGCCCCAGCCGCTGCAGCTGCAGTAGATGACACCCCGACCGTCGGAGATCGAGCGACGATTACCGGCCACCGTAAGCGCAGGTCTGCGGTCGACGAGCAAGCATAGCTCACCGCCCAACAAAGTATTACCTGCGGTTGAGCAACCGACTCTGCCAATTGACACCCTGAGCACCAGAGATATGATTGACAGTCTTTTTAAGGCAAGATGTTTAGAGGTTTTGGTATCTAACCCAAGAAGCAACTAAAACACTGGTGCAAAAAAATATTTTATAAAAAACAGATAAATACAAACACCTATCTGTTTTTTTTTCTCACATAAAATACATTCTAAGGGTTATGATATTCAAGATTCGTAGAACTTGCTACGCGTGCTACGAATCACTACGGAATTTTTTGTTTAATGACATCGTAGACGTAGCGCGGAGAACGATTGCTACGTTTTATACCTTTCTAAGATATTCTAACGTGATTTGTACCTATTGTGTTAATATATTGTATTTTAATACGATGTTTATTTATTTCAGACTAACTCATACATCGTAAAATTTGATCATCGCTATAACACGGGGATAAAAGTTTAAAAAAATGAGAGTAGACTAAGTTAGTATTACATCAGCTACCTACCAATAAAATTCCGGCTAAAATCGGTCCAGCAATTCCAAAGATTAGCCGGAACAGACAGACACACAACAATCGCAAAAAGTGTTATTTTTGTGTAGGTGTTTTTTTTATAACCTATGTATCGTACATGATAGATAACCATGATCCATTTTACTATACCCATGTTTGTAGCATGGAAAATTAAAATAATAAATACAACTCTATGGTGGTTTCACCGTTTGTTTTCTGTGAGGCCCTGGTAACACTCTAGTCGAGTCGGCCCATTCGTGCCGAAGCATGTCTCTCCCACACTCGACATTGACAATTATACAAAGTGTCGATACAAAACAACTCAATAAAAACACAAATAACTTCGGAGCAGTAAACACATTTATATGCAAAAAGGAAGTCAGATAACATTGTTAGAACATGAACTCGTCACAATCGTAATTTTACATACCTAACTATTTATTCAGATATTTTATTATACTAGCAACCCGCTCCGGCTTCGCACGGAAGTAATACTGATACATAGGACGGCAAACTATTTAACGGAGTACCTGATGGTAAGCAATCAGCGCCGCCCATGGTCACCCGCACAGCGGAGGAGTTAAGAGTGTGTTACCGACCTTTTGGAGATTAGAGATTTGGAGATTTTGGGTCTCGGAAGGGATGGGGAAGGATTGGGCCTCCGGTAACCTCACTTACACGGTGAAACACAATGCTGTGGTTGTTTCAGGCCGGTTTTCTCCTCTCAGACCCATTCATGCCGAAGCTTGGCTCTCCCACACTTATAATGACATTATGAATATAAACTGTCTTCTTCAATGACTCTATCTATTAAAAAATCGAATCAAAATCAGTTTCGTATTTTTAAAGATTTAAGCGTAGGTACATATAGGGATAGCGAAAGCGACTTTGTTTTATACCGTGTAGTGATCTATGTCAGTTATATACGGCATTATATGGATACATAGATGTGTACGGTTAATTAGGTATATTTATTAATATTGTTAACGTGGCAAGTGTTAAGTTTTTAAACTAACATTCATGGAACCTACGAATATTTTTGAAAAGTAATTTAGTGATAGGGCCACATTTTTTTTTCCAATACGATACAAACTTAAAGTCATTTATTATTATCTAAGAACATGAAAATTAAACTTTTTAGATCTTGATATTATGCGCACGAGTACCAAATCTGCTAAATTGGAAAAGGCTGGCATTGAAAAATTCCATTTTCTGTGCCAGACAGATACTTACCTACTAAGTTTTTTTATACACATTACGCCACGCAATAAAGTATTGAGTATTATGTATAAATTGAATTAAAATTGGTGCGACAATGTTACATGATTTTTGACTTGAAATTGTGTAATTGACCTACAAAATTGATAGGCAAAGCCGTATGAAGTTTATCGTGTCAACTTGTTGTGTAAACATTTATTATATACATGTTTATTTATTTACTTTATATAACAAAAATTATAAAAGTTTGCCCTCTCATAGATATGACAGTGCGATTTACGATTCAAGGACAACTCCCATATTTCATACGCAAAGGCCTTGAGCTTGACAAGCGGCTACCGCAGTGAAGCTGGTCACATTTCGTTCCAAAAATAATTTAAAATAAAAAAACATGACACTTTGTCTTTTAGCTGTTATTTTTTTTAATACCTACATATTTGTACGAAGTATTGAGTTAGTTATGTCATTTAATACCTAGTTAGTTTTAACATACGAAGGTAATGAAATATGATAACAAATTGTGAAGAGAATACCTTATACGATTAGGCAATTACTTTAAAATTACTAAGTACTTTTAAAATAAAAAGTGAAATTTAAAACGTATCTATTAAATCAACTCGTATCGAGGTCAGAGGAAAAAGTAATAGAATTTTAATTAATTGACATTTACACTTAGGAAAACGACCTAACTTGTGTATTTAAAAAAAAAATATGCTAGCAGAAATAAGTAGCGACATTCTATCTAAGTACTTCACATTATCGTATATCTTTTATTTTCACTCACCATTAAAATATTTCATCTAATTCTATTGTGTAGGTTAGGTTTAATATCAAAAGTAATAAAACATCCTTAGGCTGAAGAAGCAGTTGCCTTGTACAAAGATTTCACAAAGGAAATCCAATAAAAATATGTGTCACGACACCCTATTGTTACCACATCGCGTCTTACTCATAAGAAAAACCTAGCTTCTCTATGCTTAGAAAAATCTAAAACAAAATACGATGTTAGTTTCACAAAAGAATTTAAATGGATAATACTGAAGTTACGAAACTTTAATAAGATAAGGCAATACATATAAAATAGACTCATATACGTTTTCTTTTAGATAAGTAGACATCTACTTCTATTCGTAGAAGGAAACGAGCATGTCTCTGACCTAAAAATTTGGCAAGACATAAAGAACTTCAATACAATATATAGTACTGAACATAAAACCTAAATAATTCTTACTGTAATGTTTTATATAATTATTTACTTTTTAAGGAGTAATACCGCTAAGAGCCACGTTATTCGGGTTTTTATCAAAATTCACGCAACGTTACGATGTACCGCACTTCCTACATACATAACTACATATATCTACACATTTATAGATCTCCCTCTTACATAAAAGTAAAGATAAGCCTACTTACAACGTCTTTATAACAAAACTACGCTCCAAGAAATATAAAATCCAATTTGAACGAAAGAGTAATTCGATTTAAAAATAGTTTTATAATAGAAAAATTAACTTACCTTCAAACTGTTTTCAGCGGGAACTTTTTAAAGTTTATCCACTCACAAGCATGCCTTTATAAGTTACTTTTTAAATAAAAAATATCACGTTTCTTTTCTTATTTCTATTTACAATTTTATTTACAGTTATCCGTAAATTTCGGAATGATACTGGGGTTTGTTGAAACGTCAGTGGTGTCGCATATGTTTTACGCATGCGCGGCACAAGATGGCGGCTACGAGGCGGGTCGATAGCTCGCGATAAGGTGGCCGAAGGCTGCGCCACCATTGCCGGGTGACATTGTGCTAACGGGGTAACATAAAAACGAGGTCACCGATTCGTATTAGCCCGCGCTTCCGCGGTACGATGATACCAGGATATTTTGTTGCCATAACAAAAATATTTAATGTTTTTCCCTCGCACTAGCAAGGTTTATTATGATTTGCTTTGTAAATTGGTAACATTCAGCTTTTTATATTGATTGGCGTTTGGAAATAAACCACTCTACAATTATTAAAATAAAATTGTATTTTTTGAGGTAACAATGAAACAATGAAACAATGAATTTATTTTTGCAAATAGGCCATAAAACGGCACTTTTACACGTCAATTTATATGTGAAAAACTAGATGAAGGTAGTCGTTAAGACCTCCGGCCCCGGCTGAAGCAAGAGGGTGTCGGACTCTTACTGACGCAAGAAACAATTTTAGTAGGAGTTCCTCAGGGTTCTGTATTTGGCCCATTCCCTAATTGAAAAAATTGATTTTTTAAAATACTTGTCAGTTATAGGTTTTTGGTAATATATTTTGTACCTACCATTTTCAAGTTGTTTATAAAAACAAGATTGTCATAAAATATAATTGGCTCGTAGGCTAAATGGTTGAGCAAATTGTTACTACTTACGTTCTTGATTTTTTTAGTGGATAACAAGCTAACCGGCAAATCCGTACCGTCTCAAAATATAACTCATTTTTAATTTTTTTATTTAGTTATTCTCACCTTTTAAATGTTCCCTGTATATCCAGGAAAATTACAAGACTACAATAAGCCATGTCGGTATAGCCTTTCTCGAGTTTTAGTGAGACTAAAAAACAGCAATCCATTGTCATATACAGGGAAACTATGTCTAATTTCACGTGTACTGTGAGGTTTATGAGACTTACAACATAACTGGCTGAAAATTGATGTTACATTAAATACGTGACTTGCATTTAGGTACGTAATAACAAAATACGTACAGAGTGTAAAATTGTTATAGGTAATAGATCTGATCTTGCTATTATGAATCTAGATCCTATATATGTATGTGACGTCAAAAAATACACAATTAAATATGAAAAATAATAATTTATTCATCATCAACATCTGACTTAAGATAATGGACTTCAGGGTCGGAGGTGACGCGGCCTCGGATGCGCGAGATTGCTGCCATGCCCCGCGCTCTCGTCAACATAATGGCGGCCCATACTAAACCGACCATTGCTGCTATTCCTAGTATAACTGTTACTGCTAATGTTGCTCCACTCAGACCTGAAAGAAAGTCAAAGTATTCAGCTTTATTTTAAAGAAGAAATGTGGAAGTATTTCAGATCTATATTAGAGGAAGTTTTTTTGTAAGGTTAAAATCATCAAATGACTTCCCCCCCCCCCCAGGGCGAGGCGAGAGGGAGTGTCAAACTCCAGGCAGAGCCCGATGTGAAGAGAAGTCATTTGATGATTTCCCTCTCCTCCTCCCCAAAAAAGGTCATTGTTAAACGTCTCAGTAGTCCACCAATGGTAACTGTCTTTCTGTGGAATCAATCTTTATTTTACAGAGTTAGCAATCCGCCCATATCTCTGAAGGTAGAAAAATGTACCAGTGAAAAGTAAGAAATTAATCAAAAAAATATCTCACCTCCAGATTTTTTCGAATGCTGTTCCTGTCTTCCTTGTATAGGAGTTATCGAAGTGTCTCCGGTTACTAAAGAAACTTCAACGGACACTGTTATAGGTTTTGGAGTTTCTGGTCTTGGTGAAATAGTTGTCGTCTTAACTGTTGTAGGCGTAGGCTTACGTGGAGTCGTTCTAGGCCTAGCGGTAGTTTTAGGAGTAGGTTTAGGAGTAGGCTTAGGAATAGGCTTAGGAATAGGCTTAGGAGTTGTAGTAGTCGTAGTAGACGTAGTAGTAGAACGTTTAGTAGACGTAGTCGTCGCCTTAGTTGTTGTTGTCGGTCTACTGGTAGTAACAGGTGGTCTTTTAGTCGTTGTAGACGTTGTTGTAGGTCTTCTGGTGGTTGTTCTTTTTGTTGTAGTTGTAGTTGAGGTCATTTCAGTTGTTTCTGTTTCATCTCTAACTGGTGTTGTTGCTATCAGCTTCTGAGTTTGAGGTAACGCCATTGTTGAACTGGCTCGAGTCCCTGTATCAAGTGTGATTCCTTAGAAAGATAAAGACAAATATTATTGTTGTTCTTTTAAAAAGAAAAGTTCCATTAGCCATGTAAGTCTCGGAACTAAAAATAGTGGTATTATAATTTAAACAAATGAATCAAATGAAGAAGTAGTTACCGTCCAAGTCGCAAACGTCCAGAAAATCTGGACAGCAGTTCTGGGTGACGACGCAGACGATGCTGCAACTACAACCTCTGTAGACCGTTGTTTCAGAATAGAGGTTGCAGCGTCCAACACATGACTCCTCTGGAAAAATATACATGTTTAATTAACCGTTTGCCATCACAATGCTTGTGAGAAAATCTATACTAATATTATATAGAGGTTAAATTTGTAAGTTTGTATGTAGGGAACCGCTGGTCGGATTGCCAAAATTCTTTCAGTGATAGATAGCTACAATGTTCCTGAGTGCTATAGGCTATAAAACATTACGCTACGATTAAATGGAGCCGAGCAACGAAACCGCGCGAGAGTAGCTAGTATCGATATATCTTTTGTTATTCTTTCACGCAAAAATTGACTGCACGGTTAGTGCGGTGACTGGGCAACTGGTGGTTCGATTCCTGCAACGGAACACCACTTTGTGGGATTCATAAATTGTTGTTTCGGGTCTGGGTATCATTCATATCCTTAACTTCTTAAAAACCCACAAGAGGCCGCAACGCACTTGTAGTAACTCTTGTGGTATTACAAGAGTCCACTGGCGGCGATGATTGCTTACTATCCGGTAATCCATCTGCCGTCTGTCGTCATTCCTGCACATTAGTCGATGTTGATTTTATACTTACGTAAAACCGATGGCGGTGTTGTGGCTTCGAGCATAGCTTTGGTACAATTTGCCCCATGTTGTATAGACACATCATCAATGGCAATGTCGCTCATAAAACTATTTCCTCTAATGCCTTCAATTACGATCTGTTGATTAAACATACGATGAAACAGATTAAAGGTGTATGCAGGAGCCATTTCAAGATAAACAACTGAATAAGGATATGTTTTGGAAATTCTTTTGAATCCGATTTTTGTGTGGGAGACCTAGCTAGCATAGTATTTTAGAACCGCACTCTAATGATGACATATAAGTATGGGAGAACTATGCTTTGGCACGAATGGGTCGGCTTGACCGGAGTGATACCACGGCCTCACAGAATAACAGTATGAAAGAACCTCAGTATTGTGTTTCGCCATGAAATTGAGATTATCCATGTATGTTACCAGAGGCCCAATCCTCGCCCTCCTCCAGTCGTCCTCAAGACAAAATCACATAATAAAAAACATGATTCCAAAAATTGTAAATCCTTGCTTTCGATATTCTTCGTTAATCTTAACAATATTATTATCTATGCGCAAAGGTGTATTTAATAACAAATGCTGCTTGTGTTATTAATATGAAAGTGTGAAAATGTATGGATATACTAATGTTTGTTAGTTTTCCCCGCATAAACAGCTACACCGATTTGGTTGAAATTTTGTATGTAGATAAGTGATGGATTTTTATTACCCTTTTTTATGATATAAGTCGGCAAATGAGTAGACGGATTACCTGATGGTAAGCAATCAAAAACATTGACAACACCAAAGGAGTTACGAGTGCGTTGCCGGCCTTTTGGGGATATAAGGATCGGGAAGCGATAGGGGAAAGGAAGGGATTGGGCCTCCGGTAACCACACTCACACGGCGAAACACAACACTGGGTTGTTTCACGCCGGTATTCCGTGGTATCACTCCGGTCGAGCCGACCCATTCGTGCCGAAGCTTGGCTCTCCCACACTTAACATTTCTAATTTATACTAGCTTCGACTAATCTACCAAGCGGAGGAAGCCACAGGCGGTCTAAAGCTAGTTTAAATATATATTTTTCTGAAAAACTATGGTTTTTAACAAAATGTAAACTAACCTGGAAATTATCACCGACATCGGAAAGCATTGAGACGCTGTTGTACCACTCGTTGCCCTGATCTCCCCATTGCTCAAACAGGGTGTAATTGTTCCTTTTAGTTGCACTTAGCAGTTGGTACATTGGTACTCGGTCCGGTTTCTGGTAAACTCTGAGCCCACCCATACTCCTGTGAAGATATATTTTTATTGGTAGCTGAGGTTTTAAGGAGGACTTAAGCTAATTTCATTTAAGGAAAAATTAATTATTTATATCCCAAACCAGCCATTTGTAAAAAAAATTCTTTTCTTTCTCATTAATGTTATTGTACATACAAATCTTTTTTTCTACAATCACTTTATCTATTAAAAACGACGCATCGAAATCCGTTTTAAAAAATTTATGCGTGCATAGGGATATAGTGACAGAGAAAGCGACTTTGTTTTATACTTGTAGTTAAGAAAAAAATATTCCGATATTGGTAATCAAATTTTACGTGAACGAATGGCGGATATATGCGAGTTCAAAATAAAAATTGATGTTTCGGGTCTTGCATAGAGAAATTTCTCTATAGGGTCTGGCATTCTAGGTATCATTGGAAACGCATACACGACATCGGAGAAAAATTCTAGAATAATTCTACGTGGGATAGAAAAAGATGATGAAGAGAGAAGAAAATTATATTTGGTAGAATGGCATTTCTTATGTAATTTTTTATCAGATTACAGATCGAAGATATTTGAACGAATATAACATTTTAATAGAACCAGTTTAAAATTGGTTCTGTAGGTCATTTAAATTAGACAAATAGGTTATCAATAAAAATTTTTTGCCATTATTTTATGGTATTTTGTACGAGATTGTGTGTTAAGTTATATTTTATGAGTCTAACAGAATTTATCTCTTTAAGATAATTTGGGAAAAAGGAATTCATAGAAATACCTTCTGCTGATCCGACAAAGTTGAAAATACCTCATCTGAATGGATTATTGTGCTTACACAGATAGCCATGTTGTAGGTATCAACAATTAAAAAAAAAGTAAAATACGAAAATTACACGTACGTACACACAGTTAAACCAATTAAAGTTTTTTTACTTAAAACATTGAAAATAAACATTTTTGAGCAAAATGTTAGAAGAAAGATGTGATTGATAATAATCATAAATTGTTAAGTAAGTAAGTACTGTCAAAATAATAATAAATGTAGAGGCAATAAGATGAATCTTCGTGGAATTGTGAAGTTGCGTGTTGTTGATGACACCTACAATATCTAGTTATATTCCTAATATCACTACATGGTATAAATATGTTGTTATATCCGAAATTGTTGTTGTTGTTGGAGAAGGTATAGGGTGGTATTTAGTCAGTAAGAGTCTCTCACGCCTCACGAGCGGAGCAGAGCGAGAGAAATGATTTGATAATACGGTAGTTTCCAACTAGTCAAATTCAATACTTTTATCCAAACGTCAAAAACGATACTTTTATATGAAATTTGTATGAAAAACTGAGCTATGACGTCATAACATTTTTGCGTCAAATAGCTTACTTATTTCACAATAATTAGCGAAAAAAAATCTAAAACTTGGTGTATCAATCGATCGATGAATAAAAGTATAGTTATTTTTCAATTTTTAAACGTATTGAAACATCGAATTAATTTATTTTTGACCTAGGAAACTACCCAATTGTCCCCTCCCAGAAAAAACATTAGGACACAAAGGTAGTATCTTTGTGTCCTAATGTTTTTTCCAACGAAATATCTCCTCAAAATATTTTTTTTTTATTTAATTTATCCATTTGATAAGATAATTTATTTTTGAATGCACAAATAGAACACCTGTTTTTGTAATTAACTTCTAAAAAGGAGAATCACACTTCACAGTTTTACCTGTTTGTGTATTTATGTAGGTATGTCCGCGATGAACTCGCGAATGGCTGAACCGATTTTCATACCGTTTTTAGAACATACAAGAGCCACTTGTTGAAAGTTCCTTTTTAATAGGAAATGTTGGAGAAGTCAGTGGCTAGCTATTGGCTTTTTATTTTGTCAGGGTAAATCATCAAATGGCTCCTCCCGCCCAGGGTAAGGCGAGAGAGAGACTGTCAGATTCTTACTGACTAAAAACCCCCCGTTCCCTCTCCTGCTTTAAGCCGAGGCCGCGGTGCCACATTGCGCCTGCCCCGCAACCCCGGCTGAACATCAGCCCTGGAGGGCCCCGTCTGTGGTGGTCTATTAGACCTTAGAGTTGCGCGTGGATCGCTACGCACCGTACGATTGGGCGGCGAGCTTAGTGGCTGACTTTGGCTAATATGATGATGATATAAATAATGTAGTCATGGCCCTTACCTTCCATACATGTGGTAGTAAAAGATGAAGCATCCATTCTTCGCCAGTTCAGCATCATAGACGGGCGACAGAAGTCGCGCTGTTTCGTTCTCAATCCTGCCTGTACTTTCTATGTACATGTAGTAACCTGGGACCAAAAATATATTTTTTATTACTCATTTTATTTTAGTAGAACAGCAGTGTGATTCTGTAAGACTTCATTCTAAACTTCGAATCTGAATCCGCTGTGAGTAGTAGTACATTAGCGCTACACCTGCGAGTTGAACTAAATTGACAGCAACATTTTGATAGATAAAATATGAGATGACGTTAAAAGTGGCATTCTAAAATTTAATTACCTCGTCACTTCGACACTCACTTCGCACTCGAACAAGATTCAAAATCAAACAATTTTATAGAATCGACGTGCAGTCCTCTATTGAGATTATAAGTGTGGAAGAGTCATGCAAATAAATGAAATGAAATTAAACAAAATAAAATTCTTCACAGCCTCACAGAAAACGGGCGTGAAACTAACGCGGCCTTTTATTTCGCCGCGTGACTGAGGTTACTGGCGAACCAATCCTCCCCCCTCCCCCTCCCATCCCTAATAAAGGTCGGCAACGCACTAGAAACTCCTATGTTGTGCAACAACGTGTTTGTTGTGTCCATCTGCGGTGATTGCTTACCATCAGGTAATCAGTAGGCGCTCGTATGTCGTCCTATAACATAAAAAACCAAAATAAAAAAAAGATAATATATATGCATAATACTTACGGTACGGACAACGAACAAGTAGCAACTCGAGATGATGATGATGACTCAGATATGAGAGCATCCATCCACAGTGCCGATTGCTTACCATCAGGTAATCGCTATAATTACTTAATCCCGTTAAAAACACGTTTCTTTTTCCTTATTTTTACGAATACTTAAATAAGACAACTTTGTTGCGCAACCCATCGGTTCATATGGTTGTAAGGACCATAATATCAATCAATGTTTTTTTCTATCAGAACCAGTTGATGAAGGTATTTTTTTTTTAAATTAACTAAAAATCGCGACGTCGTCGCCGCGTCCGCGCACGCTGCTCATGAGGAAGAACCCTTCTGTGGTTCGAAACTAGTAGAGCTTTTCACAATATATGTATACACGTGAGTAACCCGCGATTTTTAGTTAATTTACTTAGTATGTCTCACGATAGTTATTATAAAAACGTATTTTTTTTATTTGATAGGTCGGCAGACGAGCTCACGAATTACCTGATGGTAAGCAATCAGCGTCGCCCATGGACATCCGCAACGATTGAGGAATTACGAGTGCGTTGCCGACCTTTTGAAGACTAGGGATTTGGAGATTTTGGGAAAGGGAACGGATTGGGGTAGGGGAAGGATTGGGCATTCAGTACCTAACCTCACTCACACGGTGAAACATAACGCTGTGGTTATTTCACGCCGGTTTTCTATGAGGCCCTGGTATCGCTCCGGTCGAGACGACCCATTCGTGCTGAAGCATAGCTCTCCCACACTTAAATATGTAATTATTTATCTTACCTGAGCCATTCTTTCCATAAGTATGATCATACGTCGGTCCAGTTTGCAAAAAGGAGCTGGGTGTCTTTTTATTTAACCTTCTCCAATCGAAATCGTGCAATTCATCAGGTTTCCACCCACATAGGTCTGGCTGTTCGAAGTCACATTCCGTTGACACTTTTGCTGAACTATCTGTAATTTTAATTCACAACTTCAATAGGTATTTATCTTCTACATTTGAGGACATTCGGTTGGTAATGTATGAATTATAAATATGTATATAGTCTTTTCCACAAGCAGAAGTTTCTTCTGTAAACAAATTAATTGTAACTTTTAGGTAGATTTTCGAATGTCGAACGCACGCTAGTTTTAAAGTTGAGAATTTGCGCCAAAAATCCTGTGTTACAAGTTCAACAAAATTTACCCCGATTCCGGGTAGATTGATTAAAAGTACCTACTTATAAAACATTTTAAAATAATATAATTAACATTTTTACCATGACATCCTGGTACAGTAGAATTCCATTTGGATCCATCGCAGTACACTACTGGAGAACCAATCAGCTGATGACCAGGCAAACAAAAGAACACTATCCACGCATTATTGTGATATGTCATATTTACTGAATTCTTCACTTCTTCTAACTGTGAGCAGCCCGATTCTTAAAATTATAAACGAGAAGTTTATTATAACAGAGAAAATAAAAAATTACATCATATTTGTGTAAATTAGATACATTGGTATAAATTCGGTAGTTATTAATATCGAATTAATGGAAGGTTGAACAAAATACTTACTAACACAAACGGGTGCAGGGACATCCCATTGGCCAAATCTGCACGTGGCATATTTGTTACCAACCAAGGTATAGCGAGGAGAACAGGAGAATTTAATAAATGTCCCCCTTTGCCGTGGCCGTGCTCGACCATTTTTTATTCGACGCATCGGACATAATGAAGCCCCGTTATAAAAATCTAAATAGTAAAAGACACTACAATTAACAAATTATGAAATAAATAGTAAAGGTGAATAACATATTTAAGTAGTTTAATAATAATCTTGTTTAGCTGATCAAGTAGGTATATCGACTTGGCTCGAGAGGTTGTCGACATGTGGGAAGTGGATTCAGCTATCATTGTACCGATAGTCGTGTCAGCCAATGGCTTAATAGCCAAGAGCCTAGACCAACATCTTAGGAGGCTCTCGTTAGGTGGCTGGATCAAGGGCTTGATTCAGAAAGTAGTACTCCTGGACACGGCTCTATTGTCAGGAGGTTCCTTTCTCTGGAGCGCTGACATATTTAAAAGTGCAATTTATATGTTTATATGCTGAATAAAAAATCTTGTTTAGCATTTACGATAGTCATAAAACCTTTAGACCATAGGTAGGTGCCTATTTTATAAAACTGCTTTGAAAATTTTGGCTTCTTTTCCCTACTGTTTTGCAAGAGATCATCTCAATTTAAATTTTTCATGTTAAAGCACTGTACCTACAACCTACGCTTTTATTTCGATGAGGACGGAAGTTTGATGTCACGCATACCACCAAGAGTATGCGTCCGGCTGATAAAATATATAAACCATGTTTTAATGTACAAACAAATTAATATTATTGTTTATTTATAATGTTCACCTAGGAGCCTTACCTATTAATGCAATAGTTATATTTATAGTAAAACTAAACAATAATTATACAGGTAATATTGTTTGAATAATGCAGTAAAATTATCCTTCAGTTGGGAATTTGGTTTTGCACTTAATATTGTTGTGTTAAAACAATATTACGTAAAATCCACCAATCATATTATTTCAGAATCGAGAAATAAATGGTTCATAATTTCTGACTTACGTATTATCTACATTATTAGACTTCTGAGAAAAATCCTAGTCTTTACTAATATTATAAAGAGGTAAAATTTGTAAGTTAGTATGTAGGGGGTAATGTTTGGAATAAATTTTGGAATACATTTCCAAAATTCTTTCACTGATAGATAGCTACAATGTTTCTGTGTGCTATATATATCACGCTACGATTAAATGGAGCCGAGAAGCGGGTAAATCCGCGCGAGGATAGCTTTTTTTTTTTTTTTGTCAGGGGAAAATCATCCAATGACTTCTCCCGCCCAGGGTAAGGCGAGAGAGAGTGTCAGACTCTTACTGACTAAAAACCCCCCCGTTCCTTCTCCTGCTCTGGGCCGAGGTCGCGGTGCCTCATTGCGCTTACCCCGCAGCCCCGGCTAAACATCAGCCCTTTAGGGCCCCGACTGTGGTGGTCTATTGGCTCTTTGAGGCGCGCGCGGAACGCTACGCGCCGTACGCTCGGGTCCAGTTCTGGTCGGGCGGCGAGCTACCCTTACTCGCCGTCCGCAGACCCGCGCTTACGGTGGCCGGAGATCATCCCTCGATCCCCGACGTCCGGAATGTCGCCTTCTGCGGCGGCTGGGGCGCGAGGAGGATAGTTCCCTCACGCGCTCCGCCTCCTCCTTTGCGAGCATAACTGCTTCGCAGAAGGAGGAGATAGCTTCCCAGTTCCTCTCACGCTGCACCATGGCCTCGATTAAGGCCGGGCGCGAGAGGTCGCCGCCGCCGATCACTTCCCTGAGAACACGGCGGTGCTCAGCCCAAGCAGGGCACTCCGCCACCGTATGCTCCACCGTGTCCTCCAGGTGATCCTCACAATGACGACACTCGGGCGTTTCCTCCCGCTGGATCCGAAACAGGAACCTACCAAAGCTGCCGTGCCCGGTAAGCACCTGCGTCAGGCGGAAGGTGAGGACGCCGTGGCGTCTCTCAAGCCACTCCTCAAAGGGGGGTCTTACCGCTGCTATAGTAGCGTGCCCGGCCCTCGGTTGCGACAGTCGCTGCTTCCACTCAGCCATGAGATCTCGCCGGAGCTCATTCCGCCACGCACTAATTTGGCGCGGCAGAGGATCCTCGCCCCGGCGACGCGCGTCTGCGCGCAAACTGTAGACGCGCGCGAGCGCCTTCGCTTCCAGATCCCATGGCGGTGATCCGGCAAGGAGGTTCGCCGCCTCCCCGGAGATCGTGCGATATCCGCGGATTATTCGGATAGCCATGACCCTCTGGGACGCGACCAGCGTACGAGCCGGCCGCCGCTTCAAATCCGGCGCCCACACAGGGGCACCGTAGAGGGCCATGGATCGCACAATCCCCATGTACAACCTCCGGCAGGAGGCGTTTGGCCCCCCGAGGTTGGGAAGGAGCCGCTTGAGCGCGGCCCCAGACCGTTCCAACTTAGGAGCCAAACGACGAAAATGCTCCGTGAAATTCCATCGGCTGTCGAGGACGAGACCCAGGTACTTCATCGCCGACTCGACGCCGATGGTAACTCCTCCTGCCATTATTTGGGACCCATCTGGAGGTGGCGCGTTCCGACGGCCATAAAAACACATGGCCTCGGATTTGTGAAGAGCCACCTCGAGTCCCAACTGCCGGATCCTTGCAACGACTGTCGCGACCGCTTGCGACATCAGGTCGGCCGCCGCCTGATGTGACCTCCCATTCGCCAGCACCAGCGTGTCGTCAGCATAACAAACAATGCTGACGCCGCTCGGGAGGTCGGTGCGTAGCACCCAATCGTACCCGATGTTCCACAGGAGAGGTCCCAGGACCGATCCCTGTGGAACACCGCGCGACACCTCTCGCCGATTCCACACGCCCCGGTGACCGGGGTAGATGACGCATCTGTCCGTCAAGTAAGCCTCGACTACACGACGGAGATAGGCAGGCACCCGGTGATACCGGAGTGCCTCCAGAATGCAGCTCCAGGGCAACGAATTGAAGGCGTTGGCGATGTCCAGAGACACCGCCACGACGACTCGCCCCCTGGCCAACGCAGTCCCCGTCGTGAGGTCCCTCACGCGCATGATGGCGTCCACTGTGGAGCGCCCTCTGCGGAAGCCGAACTGGCCGTCCGCTAAATCCGGCCCCCTTCCAGACAGGTGCCCGACGAGGCGGTCTGATATTATCCTCTCGAACAGTTTTCCCACCTCGTCGAGCAGCACAATGGGCCGGTACGCGGACGGAGAGTCCGCAGGACGCCCCGGCTTCTTCACGAGGACCAGTTTACCCGTCTTCCACGACAGCGGAAACTGGCCCCTCTCCAAGCATGCGCTGAAAAGACCAATTAGTCGAGGCCTGAGAGCCTCCGAGGCCAGGACCCAAACCTTGGCATGCAGCCCGTCAGGTCCTGGGGCGGTGTTCTTGCCGCTCAGCCGGCGCACCGCCACCCTCAAATCTACCTCGGTCACTTCCGGAGCGGATTCACCGTCGTCGTCGTTGTAGCCCGCATTGGGCACCGCAGGGGGCGGAGACATAGTGGGAGGCGTGTAACCTATCTGTGGTCGGGGGAATAGCGCCCCAACCACTTCGTCCACGACCTCCGGCCGGAGACTCTGAGTCAGTGGGGGCGCCCAGGTGCGGAGCTTATCACGCACCATGCGGTAGGGGCGTCCCCACGGGTCTCTGTTCAGAGTCTCCAACATCTCCTCGCGGGCCCGATCTTTGGCCCGCCGGATCTCCACCCTTAGGGTGGCCTTCGCCGCCCTGTACTCCTCGTACAGCTCCGCCTCTCTGGTTTCAGCGTCCAGAGGGCGGATACGGAGCCTGCGGTGCCTGGTGTATCGGCGTCGCGCTGCGGTGCACTCACCACGCAGAGCAGCCAGCTCCTGCGACCACCAATACACCTGGCGCTTGCGTTGGCACGCCCGGATCCGGGGCATCGCCACGTCGCACATCCTGGACATGGCGTCCTGGAGCCATCTCGCCTCCTCGTTAACGTCGGCAGGCCTGACCGGTGGTATCACCCAGGCCTGCACGACTGCGGCTTCCAGGAAAAGCTCCCGGTCCAGTTGCCTAAGCGCCCAACGCGGGCCACACGGGGCCTGTCTGACTGGCGGGTCTGCGGACTCGGCGGAAACGTCGAACCGTATATAGCGGTGGTCCGAAAACGTCTCCACCTCCTCCATGACGCGCCAGTCGCCAACGCGCGATGACAGAGCGGGGCTAGCAAACGAAATGTCCACCACTGACTCGCCCCGCATCCGTATGCACGTGGGGACAGAACCCCGGTTCAGCACGACCAGGCCTGTCTCCAGAGCCCAGTCTTCAACCATCCTTCCCCGGACATCAGTGAGCCGGGAACCCCAAGCCAAATTCTTGGCATTGAAGTCCCCGAGGACCAGAACGGGGAGGGGACGGAACCCGACGACGACGGTGACTAATTCCCTGAGGGAGTTGTGGAACTCGACGAGAGTTCGGTTCGGAGAGAAGTACACGCCCACCACGGCGATCTCTCCGAACCGAGCCGCGACGCAACCCCTGCCTCGCTGAGGCCCTTCGGGGGTTGGGGTACCGGCGGCGGCCGACGAGATGATGGTCACCGAGCCGTCCAGGTCTGACAACCAGTGTTCCCTGGGTGGAACGAAGTACGGCTCGGAGACCACAGCAACATTGATCGACCACTGCGCCATGCTCTGGAGCAGGAGATCCTGAGCAGCGGCGCAGTGGTTGATGTTCGCCTGGAGGAGGCGTAATGGAGCCATTATTGGCAGTCCATCACGACCTCCTCTCTGGCACCGGCGACAGCAGCAGTCGCGGAGGCGGTGGCGACTGTGTCTGTATCGACGGGAACGGCGGGGGCGGTAGAGGCGGCAGAGGGCCTAACTTTACCCCTGGGATTGGCGGGGGGGGAGCAGGTTTTGCCCCCAACCCGGTGATCGGCCGGCTTACCAGCCGCCGCACATACTACGCAGTGTAGCGGTGCGGTGCAAGTGCCGGCCCTGTGACCGGGCTGACCGCAGCGGAAGCAGCGGTCGCTACGGTCTACCTCCGAGGTGCATTTGGCACCCACATGGTGACCAATAAGGCAACGATAGCACCTCAGAGGCCGGGGCTCAAGCAGCTTCACCTGCGCCGAGACCCAGCCCACCAGGAGTCTTTTGCCCTCCGACAATTTTTTTGCCGCTGTGACGGGGCAGCTGACTACCACAGTCCGCAGCCCCGTGCTGTCCGGGCGGATGGTGCCTGCCTTCACCTGGTCCACAGGACACTCCCCCATCCTGGCGACAGCGGCCGCCACCTCATTCTCCGTCACAGAGTCGTCCAGGCCCATAATACGTAGCTCCAGGCATTTAGTGGGCCTGGACACGCGAGCCTCGTCCGCTGCAAGGCACGTCCTGAGCCTCTCGGCTAGGGCGTCAGCGGACGACCCGCTGGCCGCGCCGGGGACCTCTAAGAGACGGGCTCCAGTGGCAGTGACCCTCACTGCGAACCCGTCGGGTGCCCCGAACTCCGCAGGAGATACCGCCCCCTTCAACTTTTTGAGTACGTCCCCGTACGTCACCCCCTTTTTAGCCGCATCCGGCTGTAGTGTAATCACTACAGCCGAAGATTTGGGGGCGAGGAGCATTGCCGCGGCGCGCTTCTCCTTGCGCCGCTGCTGCCGCCGCTGCCGCTGCTCTTTCTTGCGGCGCTTCCTCGCCTCCTTAGCGACCCTCCTCGCTTCCCCGGCCACCTGCCACTCGCCATCGGCACACAACTCCGATGGGGTGGGCGCCGCTCTGGCTGGAGCTCTAGCGGCTGCACCCCTGCGCCTGCGACTCATCGGCGCCGAAGCTGAAGTTGGAGCTTGCGCTGTCAGAGCCGCAGGTGCCGCCTTCGGCGCTTTCGCCGGCGTAGGCGCTTTCGCCCCCTTCTTCGCCGGTGCCTCAGCCCGAGCGCCGCAGCTGGTTGAAGGCTTTGCTGCTGCTGTTGCGTAAGAGCCAGCTGCAAGCGGGGGTCGGAGGAGCCTAGCCTCCAGAGCGTCAAAACGCTGTTGAAAGGCGGCCATCTCTCGCCGCATCAGGCCGAGAAAGTCGGCCTCCGTTGGCTGCGCCGGTTGGGGACGCCCTCCGCGAGCAGTGGCGAGCTCTGCCTTAGCTGCTCGGAGTTCAGCCTCCAAGGCCGAGTTCGCAGCCACCAATCGGGACAGTTCCCGTCGCATCCCGGCTAGCTCCTTATGCAGAGCAGCCATTTGCCGCCCCGTTGACCTCTGCTGGGCTACCGCCGACATAATGGCGGCTTCGGCGTGTTGAAGCACTCCGTATCTGCCAGCTTGGGTTTTCTGGCCAGCCACCGTACGAAGTGCTTCCTTCACTTCATTGCGAAGGCTCTCAGCGCCGCCTTCGCTTACAGAGCCCTCGCCGCCGGACACTTCAATCTCGGACGAGTCCGAGGGGGCGGCCCTTCCCAGGGCGCTCCCCTCCGCCGCTAGCCGCTCAACTGGCTCAGTGCGACTAACTACTGCCCTAGTGGAGCCCTTTCCTTTACCCCTTCCCCTCGCAGCCGTGGGGATTTTAGGGGCTGGGGCCTCCGGCTCGTTGGAGGACGGCTCTCGGCCATCCTCTAGCCTAGGACGTTTAAAAACGCCCCGCTCTTTATGATGGCGCAGCGCGATGCCGACACCAGACAATGATGAGTCGGACTCCGAGTCCGACTCCTTCCTCCCCGGGGCCCGTAACCGGGATTTGCTGGGCACTTCTCCACGAGCCCGGGAGCCATTTCGGCCCTCACTGTCACATGCAAGCGAGCTGTGCTCGCTTGCCTGCGCGAGGATAGCTAGTAGGTAGATAAAGTAATTTAAACATTTTTTCCTACTAACCATTCCATTTGAAACTGCAATTTTTACCACACATACATAAATTTCGCTAGTTCGAAATACTAATATACTACTTTCACTTATAAATCAATTTGACATAACAAGAATAAATGATACGTACTATCATTAAATTATCTGTTTGCCTATAAGGCTGTATTGAACAATAATAATAATTAAAGTAGTCCATACATATCCTTAAAAACGTAATAGACTAGGTATAACACTTGTTAATAATTTACAACGTGACATAATAGGCCAGTCCATACAAATGCCATAGAAGTTTAACGATTTTGACATTTTAAAGGTTAAAGGATTTGTTTGAAACACATCGTATTGGTCGTATATTTTGTAAACAAATAATACGCTAATTGCTGAGAAATAATAAGTATCAGAACACACAAGGAAACCGCACAGTTTTATTTATGCTAAACATTAATGAATTTATAAATTGTTATCCAAATGTGTTATCGAAAAAATAAATGATTGGTTACTGTAATTAATTATATAGAGACATTCCCAGTGATGACTCAAAATTTTAACTATGCTGGTCTCATTGTTTTTTTTTGTCAGGGAAAAATCATCAAAGGTCTTCTCCCGTCCAGTGTGATCCTCCTGCTCTAGGCCGATGCCGGGGTGCCACATAACGCTTATCCCGCAACCACGGAGAACATCAGCCCTATAAGACCCTGTCTGCGGTGGTCTATTGAAACTTTGGAGCGCGCGCGAAACGCAACGCGCCGTGCGCTTGGGGCAAGTCTCATTGTCCGGTGTATTTAAAAGCAATCTTATGATTCACACAATTAGTATATTAAAAGTACCGTCAAGTATTGATCAGCGGGTACGAAAAGATTTCTTGAATATGGAAGAAATGAAAATGTGGGTGTCATTCTTCAAAACTTTCAAAATTCTAAACTTATATGAAACATACTATTTCGGACCTACAATATATTGACCCATTACGACACGTGATACACCCACACTACCACTGTGAACGGACATGAATGAGATAGCAACGGATGTGAACAGTAACCAAAAATCAGTCACTGTATTATCAAATCCTGAAAATGGTATTGCAGTTTTATGTAATTATTTGACATAATATTATGTATTACTAGCTACATCCGAGCAGTTAGCACACTCATCTTATTTTTTGTAGCATTACATTTAATAGCATAGAGCCTTTCTTGATAATCGGACTCTAAAATATAGTTCAAATGACCCGGTCGATCTCACGCGCCTTAGCGCCTTCAAACAAACACAAAAATCAGATTTATTGTAATAATGATATTTTAAATAATTAACATCACACGTAGATATTTCTGTACTATTTGTTACAAGGTAGACAAGTCCTATAGATAGCGTTAAAATTTCAATATTATTTATATCTGTTAATATGAAAGCACAGCAAGCTATTACGGGGTTTTTGCTGCGACAAGTAATTTTAACTATACGACCAGGAATCAAACATGTTAAGTGTTTAATTAACCTTAAATTGAATGCCAATATCATAGTTATTATTAATTACTTAATTTAAAAATAACTTTTAAATAGGTACCTATAAAATTATTATTAGTTTATGTGTAGGTATACCACATACAGGATAACATAATAATCAAACTCGCATACATGCAAAATGCAACTCACCTGCTTCAACAAAACTGAGTACAAATAACAATAATAAACACTTAAGAAACATTTTGCACTTAAAACTATTACAATATAACACAAATATTATTTTTTTTACTTTAAATAAATCAAAAATAAATAATTTTACTTCATATTTCAGGACTAGACTGCTTGTTATTGCGTACACATTTTAAATGTGGTTTCATTTATATTGTTCATGTTATTCATATCGCTCCCGACAAAGATTAAAAATTCACGCGCAGATAATTGCCTACCACGTTCGCTCTTCAAATATGGTTAGACTATAAGTTGATTATTGCACTAGAATTTGCTTCAAAAGTAATTTTCTGATTAGCCAAACAAAATTACGCTTCTTTTTTACGAAATTAATTAAATGTTGATGATTTTACCAATCGTATTGTTACTATTTTTAAAATAAATCTTATTCTTAAAATAAACCTAGAACACAATATACAGCACACACAAATTATGAGGCATACAATAATATAATAATCAGATCTAGTATTTAAGTCTAATTCAAAATCATAAAATTAAGAACGTAAAGTAGGCACAAAACCAAACCATAAGAGTGCAAGTCTGTGTTTTTTCATATTCTTTGTTCTGCACGGGATGTACATTTATCAGGGGCGCTTCCTTTAGACTTTCCACCGATATTCCATTGAATACTATCTGACCATGGTATTTTGTAAAAACAGATTAGTTTATTCTAAAGCCATTTATTTATGTTATCGTAACTACTTGTTTATTAACAAAACATAGTGAATCATCTCTGATTTTTTGTAGATTCCCGATAAATGTGTCAGTAAGGATGTGATAATGCAATTCCGGTAGGATATTTGCGTGATGGGGTCTTATGCTCGAAATCAAAAGTTCATGAATAATTAAATCTAGTAGATCATAGATTCAGTGCAAAGCATTAAAGTGAAGATCAGATATCTACTTATTGTTTATATGGCCTGGGACGTGAATCGCGGCTATCGCACGATTTTCGGAGAGGCACTGAAAGCAAAGGCGGTAGTAGCGCGCGAGTTCAGGTTACGCGCTGCCGTACGGCGCCGAGGCGACAATGCTCTGCCGCGCCAACTTAGTGCATGGTGGAATGAGCTCTCATGACAGAGTAGAAGTAACGTCTGTCGCAACCAAGGGCCGGGCACGCTGTTATAGCAGCGGTAAGACCCCTCTTTGAGGAATGGTTTGACACAGGACGCAGGTGCTTACCGGGTACGGCAGCTTCGGTAGATTCCTGATTCAGTTTCGAGTGTCGTCATTTTAAGGACCACCCAGTCCACCCACCCGTCCTCAGGGATATAATCGGCGGCGGCGACCTTTCGCGCCCGGCCTAAGTAATAGACCATGGTGCGGCAGCGAAAGGAACTAGGAAACTAAGTATCTGCTCTTTCTGAGAAGTAGTTAAGCTTGCAAAAAGAAGGAGGTGGAGCGCGTGAGGGAGCTATCCTCCTACTGTATACTTATTGCCAGTTTTTAACCCTTTGCATTATAATATAAATTAAAATTGAATTGAATAGAACAGACACAGTAATAGAATCACGCTTTCTAACATCTGACCTGGTAGGCAAAACAGTATGTCGTTCTTTGCTGGGATTGTCTTTTATGTCGTGGGTATGTTTACAATCATAAAATATCACGCACATACTATTACAGTTACCTACACCCCAAACAACAATTTGTAGATTACGCAAAGAATTGTGGGAATCGAGGATAGCGAAACGGATGCACACCTACTTTTTTCCGAGATATGTTATGAATTCTATGTCACAAAAGTCGTCAAGTTATTTATCAAATACACAAACAATTTCATTTTAATGTAGCCTAAGACGTGAATCCATAACCCTCAGCAGATGCGCATACGACACACAAACCAGTGTTATCCTTGGAATTGGTTATTCTTCACCGACTTTTAAACAAGGAAGTTATTTATTAGTCGCGTTTATTTTTACACAATAAAAGCGTTTAATATATGCCTTACTTATACGTAAGTAAATCTTAAAATATTTTAAAATGTCAATTAGGTATCAAAATTAGATATGTAATTAGTGAAACTACACATACATTAGTTTTTAAACATTTCTTCTTTCTGCATCTACTTAATCCTTACGTTCCGTACATCTTTTTGCTTTATCTAGATTATGGGGTAATTAACTTTAACTAATGGCAACATTATCGTAATGTCAAATCGAACAAAAATCGCGCGTTCCAGTTCCCAGTTGCTCCGTATAATACGGACGCATTATGATATATCTTATCTTCTTCCATTATACGTATTTATCTTAACAAAAGAGAAAGAGACAACAGTATTGTAAATGCTACAGTATAATTGAATAAAATTTTAGAGTTGGAATTACAAAGAATTTAGGATTGAAAACAAAGCGAAACTTGTGCCATCACTATGTTGTTTAATACTTTGTTTTGCGTCTACCAAATTTAAATAATTTGTAAAATATGAACAACTTGTGCAGAATTTGTTTAAAAGTGTATGATGAAAATATGCAAAACGTGCAAGAAAGCGTTATACTTTTTAAAATTCGAACATTTCTAACGATTGATGTGAGTTTGTTTTTTTTAACTACACGTTGTTAATACTTATTTTTTTATTATTTTCCTATGAAAATTAAATAGTTTTATTTTTTATTCTCATCATTATCGCGTTAGCCACAAGATTTTCACTGCTAAACTGAGGCCAGCCAAATCTTGACTCACATAACTTTGACTTATTCGGCCGGTTGGATCTGGAAACGACTAGCATCCAGTGGCTTTCTACGGCCTGTTACTTTTATTAGGCTATCCATATAGTCTCAAAGGGCTCTCACAGTCCGTCTGACATCTTGTCTAGGTCTTGCTCATACTTTTTTTTTATTTTGTAGTGAAATAAATAAAACAAGTTAATATTAAACTTTGAAGTAATTTAATTTATAACGCAATATTTCTTCTATTTCAGATATCAACCGACAGTTCATTGCCAAAAAGTTTATGTATACAATGTTCAAACAAAACCACAGAATTATATCAATTTTGTATTAGTATTCAAGAAAATGAGGCCAAATTGAAATCATATTTAAATAATGGATGTTTACAAGAGTATTATTTTAATGTAACAAATAATAGAGTAATTGAAGATGAAAAGAGTGATATCATATTTTGTGAGAATAGTTTTGTAAAAACAGAAGATCCTCCAATGTGCCAAATAGTGGGAACAGACAATGTTAAAAACAAAAATATGGATGAATGTTTAAATTTAAAACAAGATGATTCCATAGATGGTGTTCCAGAATGTAATTACAGTTCTAATGATGAAATAACACTGGCCGTTATAAAAAAAGAAGAAAATCAAGACCGTAACACAAAAAAAATTAAAACAAAAAAGAAGTTGAAACGAAAGACTGAAGACGAACTGTCAAATAATTTAAATAGTTCCACAGATACTTTAATAAAACAATTTACTTGTTTATCATGTTTGAATAGTTTTGAATCACGGAACAACCTTATACAGCATTATCATAATGAACATTTGAAAAAAGAAAAAACATCTTCTACTGTAAATTATTCTGAAAGCAATTTGAATGGAGTTATTACATACAGTTGTAAATCATGTGACCGTACATGTAACATCAAGAAAAATATAGTAAAACACATTGCCACTCATGTTGATGAGAGACCTTTGATTTGTAAACTTTGTGGTAAGTCCTATATTTTTTTAAGCAAGCTCCTGTCTTTTTATCTCAGAGATACTATTTGTGCATCACACAAAAAAACCTTAGAAAATATGCACAGCTACTAGTGCATACTATACTAGTGTAACTAAACCATATTAAAAATAGATTAATATAACAAAATATTTTAAATCAAACCAGCCACATACCGTCTGCTGCTGGTTGGCTCAGTGGTTTTACAACTGGCAGCCTAGTCATTAAGTTATATTCCCGCTCGGACTAACTCTTTGTGTGATCCACAAATTTTTGTCCCAGGTCTGGGTGTGATGTGTCTGTGAAATTGTATGTTTTTTGCCATTTTATTGGGCAAAGTTAAGAAAAAAGCTGTACTAATATTATATTCTGTCTGTCTGTCTTTTCTTTACGCCTAAACAACAAAACCGATTTATGTGAAATTTGGTACAGAGTTTGGAACTCAAGAAAGGACATAGGATAGTTTTTATACCAAAAATCTGCAGGAAGTCACCATTCCACGCGAGTGGAGTCGCGGACAAAAGCTAGTAATTAGTACCTGTTGAAGCATTGGTAGTGATTAACCACATTCTTTACCAGGTAGAACGTACAAAACGGTGACCGAGATAATCCGGCACGCCAGGGCACATAATGGATTAAAACTCGAGTGCTCCTACAAGTGTGGGTACAGCACTGCTTACCAGGGTGCTTTGAAAGAACATGAAAATAGACACCAGAAGGTTTATAAGGTATGTATTACCTACTCCGTATAGTCTATATGTTCTGTAGAAAGATAAATATAAATGTGTGACGCGAAGACTGCGCAAAAAGAGAAGCAAACAGGTTCGCTATCTCTACGCAGTGTGGGCCAGGGTCCCGTCGGACCTCAGCAGTGGCGGAAGTGAAGGGCGAAAAAAGTACGATTCAACCGCCCGGGCCAGTGGCCGTATTGCCTTACTAGTTACTACCCGTTGGGTAAGAGGCGAGCCTGTTCATCATCATCATCATCATCATCATCATCATCATCATCACATGAGCCATAGGACGTCTATTACTGAACATAGGCCTCCCCCATTGACTTCCAGATAGGCCGGCTGGAAGCGACTTGCATCCAGCGGCTTCCTGCGACCTTATTCAGGTCGTCTGTCCACCTTGGGGGTGGACATACTCGATTATCGTAGTTACACCAATACATCCATTATCCAATTTAAAATAAAATTCCCAATTTTCCTTTCCAGTATACTTGCGATAAATGTGGCGTTGGTTTCCGCGTGAAGACTTGGTATGAACAGCATCAGAACGTCCATACTGGACTCAAGCCTTATGTGTGTGATATTTGTGGACACGCTTTCCACATGGCCAGGTTAGTAGCGTTTCTTCTCACATCACAAAGATAAAAAACTAAAAATCGCTTACTTGTGAGAAGTCTACATCCAAACTAATATTATAAATGCGAAAGTAAGTCTGTCTGACTGTCTTTTCTTCACGCCTTAACTACTGAACCGATTTGTGTAAAATTTGGTACAGACATAGTTTGGAACTCGAGAAAGGACATAAGATAGTTTTAACCAAAAATCTGCAGAAGTCAAAACTACACGCGGGCGAAGTGGCAGGCGTAAACTAGTCCCTGATAAAACTATTTCGTTTATTTTTCTTCTTCTCAAATAATATCTTCTGGTTTATTTCATTGTGGGATCCAAGACATCATTCGTGTCCCTGGGACGCGCCGGACTTCAGTGTTCCGATTTTTTCATGGCTGTATCTACTGTAGATCCTGGCTTACAAGAGTTTCAGATGAGTAGTATATTTTGAAAAAGGAAAAATTTCTGCCTAATTTTTTTTATAAGTATGGCCATATTTTTCGAGTAAGGTTTTTTTATGTAATAGGTCGGCAAACGAGCAGACGGATTAGCTGATGGTAAGCAATCAGCGGCGCCCATGGACACCTGCAACGGAGGAGTTACGAGTGCGGTGCCGACCTTTAAGGGATTAGGGATTTAGGAGGGATTGGGGGAGGGGAAGGATTGGGCCTCCGGTAACGTCACTCATACAGCGAAACACAACGCTGTGGTTGTTTCACGCCGGTTTTCTGCGGGGTCGTGGTATCACTCCGGTCGAGGCGACCCATTCGTGCCGAAGCATGACTCTCCTACACTTGACAGGTAATCATCAAATGCCTTCACTTATCTTGGGTGGGGCGAGAGGTAATGTCAGACTCTTACTGAATAAAAACCACTCCGTATCACCCGAAACCCTTTAAGTAGCAAAAAGAGTATCTACTCCTTTCGAAAAAGGTTCGTGTCTATGGGTAAGGCCATTGCTTAACATCATGTCAGGGTCATTGGGTGCCTTATCCTTGAAAAAAATGCTCAATAAACATCTCTATGACGTCATTGTACTACTACACAAACAATAAGTAATTTATTTATTTTCGTATATAGGATGTATATAGGCCATAAAATTGGATATATACGAGTAAAAATTTATAAAAAAAACTAGATAAGGTCCGCATTTCCTATCTGACTACTCTGAGAAGAAATGCTGAAACAAAGTCAGCAGTTATTCTCTTTACTTGTAATTGTTTTTTACACTGTAATTTCAACTGTTCTGCGAAGCATGGCGATTATGAAAAACTAGTTTATAGAGGGTGTTCATTTTCCTTGGTAGTATAATGATATTACGCCTTCAATGTTCATTGTTCGGCCTGCTCGACGTCCGTGCGTCATTGCAGGGATCCAGCAGAATACCAGCGTCAGGTATATACTTGACACATACTGAGCTGGACTCCCATTCGGTGCAAACTAAAGACACACTGAACCGCGCCTTTTTTTTCCTTTTTCTATATTATGTTCTTTCTTTCGTACTACCCGTCTAATACGTAATTTATTTTTTGTTTGATTTTATTTTGTGTTATTTTCGTGTTAATTTGTATTGTGCACCCGCTTTTTGTCAATTAATTTGTGTCTGTTATTGTTTGTGCTGAATAAATGTGTTAGGTAGGTATCTATCTATCTATCGACAGTAATTTTTATGTGACAAACGAGCAGACGGATTACCTGATGGTATGGTATGGCAAGAGTTACGAGTGTGCTGCTGGCCTTTTGGGGATTAGGGATTCGAAGAATTAGGAATGGGGGAAGGAGAAGAACAATTGGTCCTCCGGTAACCTCATTCACATGGCGAAACACAAAGCTGTAGTTGTGTCACGCCGGTTTTCTGTGAGGCCGTGGTATGACTCCGGTCGAGCCGACCTATCCGTGCCTCATGCCTTCTCACACCTAATACTTTTCATTAAATTTCAGGTATCTGTCATCTCACAGGAGTTGGAAACACCCGCAATCTTCAAGCGTGAAACGGTATATTTGTGTCCATTGTGGACACAAGTGCGATAGCTCCAATAGTTTGGCCCTGCATTTGGAGGTGATTTTTCTATACTAATATTATAAAGAGAAAAGATTTGATTGTTTGAATTGAATAGGCTCTGAAACTTCAAGTTAAACTGCGAGATACAGCTTACACAGACACAGGAGAAAATTTCGTTATGGTCGACGTTATTTTTTTATTATTATTATTTTCGTAAAAACGTTGCCCCAAGTATTGGGTCACTAGGATTTTCTCCTGTGTCGTGTGAGTGCGTTTATAAACATACAATTTCACATACACTTCACATCTACACCCGAAACAAAAATTTGTTCATCACACAAAGAGTTGCACACGCGGCAGCACGCGGCAGCCAGTCATATAAAAGTAATTTAAAACTAGCTCTTACCCGCGGCTTCGCTCCCGTAATTTAACTACCTAGGTACACTAGCCAATCTAGTTACCTATCTACACTAAATGCCCTACCTACCCTGCGCTACCTACCCTACTCTACCTACCCTACACTACCAAACCTACCTTACCTACTATCCTACTATGCACTAATTACCCTAAACTACCTACCACACCTTACTACTTATCTAACCCACCCTACTATACACTTTCAGAGTTTACCTTATTTACCTAAACTATATTTTTGCATATTATTGTAATGTAAAGCATGATGGTAAGCAATCAGCGCCCCCATGGAAATCCGCAGCAACGGAGAAGTTACAAGTGCGTTGCCCACCTTTCGGTGATTAGGGTGTTGGGTTTTAGGGATTATTGGAGGGGATGGATTAGGCATCCAGTACGTAACATACGTTGTGGTTGTTTCACGCCGATTTTCTGTGAGGCCGTGGTATCACGCCGGTCGATTGTTCTATATAATTTCAGGAACACGGTATAAATAAAGAGAAAGAGTTTCTTTGTGACTTCTGTGGCAAGATACTCGCTAGAGCTGATCAACTGAAGCATCATCGTCGGATGCACTCTGGAGTCAAACCTTATTCTTGCAGGTAACTTTTTTATGTCATAGGTCTAGAAACGAGCAGACTTATTATCATGATGGTAAGCAATCAGTCAGTCTTCTCCCGCCCAGAGTCGAGCAGGAGGGAGTGTCAGACTCTTACTGAATAAAAGCCCCCCGTTCCTTCTCCTGCTCTAGGCCGAGGCCCCGCAGACGGCCTACAAAGCCGAACATCAGCCCTGGAGGGCCCCGTCTGTGGTGGTCTATTGGCTCTTTGAGGCGCGCGCAGAAAGCTACGCGCCGTGTGAGTCTGGTTCTGGTCGGACGGCGAATTATCCTTACTCGCCGACCATGGACACTCGCAATATCGAAGGAGTGGTGTCCGTTACCCAGGCCAGATGTTGTCGACAATGGTCATTTGAATCTTATAGATAATTAGTTGTGCGGCTTCTGTAATTGTTGCGCACATTTTTAAATTTGTTGCGCTTATAGTTTTTTAATTATTGCACAAAAACATTTCCTGCTGGCGTAACGTTACCACAGCCAGACCTTTTTCTTTCTAATGGGAATATTTAAATAAATATTAGCTATAAAATTAGTTGTCTAGATAAAGTAAATGTTGTGCCTTATTTTGTATTTGTTCTTTCTTCGGTTGCGAAGTTATTCGAGTTTTTGGTTTTGCTAGATCTTTGAAATGGTTAAGCGGATTCTTATCATATTTTGTACACGACATCCGAGGACTTAGTTTAAATTTGTTGTGCAATAACAAAACCAAAATAATGCATATTTTAAAGGTTATTTCATTAAATAGAAAAACACTTCAATTGGCCCCAGCACTCTCAATAAGAAGTCTAAAGACTTACTTTAAACGTAATTTTAAAGCTTGTAACTGCCTTTAAATGTATGTGAAGTTTCATTAGTATCCCGTAAGTACAAGTTATGATGATATTCAATACTTCACGAGCACGGTCTTAATGCACGCGGTGTTATTTGGCCACTAGATTGGATATATGAACTGAATGTTATGTCAATAATTAGTTGTTTAGATCAGTTGTATACCAGTAAAATTTCAGCTCAATACATTGGATAATTAATGAGATAATACTATTAAAGTCATTAGGAATCGAATGACCGTGGTAAGCCGACCAAGTTAAGGTGGTTACGAAAAAGCGAAAACGCAGAACATTGTACTATCTTTTGAAATGTTTAGTATAATACACCTTACAATTTTGGTACAGACGCGTACACTGTGAAATACCTATATAATAATAATATAAAAGAAAACATTATCTTTCAGTTCCACAAAATTATCAAAAATCACCGCTAGAGCATGCCGTTCGGTAGGACGCGGGAGGAGTGGGGTGAAGGGGTAATACATTGTTTGCATAACGCACTCAGTCTTGCCAGAAGGTTACTTTTGTAATCTGTTAGATGATTTTTGAACTGCATCGGTTACTTTTAGGTAACTCGAATAAAATGGTTACTTTTAGTGGTTTTTTCGGAATATAGAGAATTAACTTTTAAATTTTAATTAAATATTATTATATTATAATGGAACAATCATTTAGGTCAATACAACTAATATTCTATTCTAAAAAACCCGAAACGCGGACTAGACATTACTATCATACTGCATCCGCACCGCACGACTGCATACCTACCTAGTCCCTACAATACTAATTAATCAATTTTTAAATACCTACACAATTTTTTCCACAGTATCTGCAACAAAACGTTTGCAACGAAGTTTTATGTGAAGACCCACATGATTTCGCACAGCGGTGAGAAGATGCACTCTTGTACCCGATGCGGCAAGAGATATACACAAAGAAGCACGCTGTTACGACATCTAAGAAGGTATTATCGCCAGCTTTTTTTCATTGGATGGTTCGGCATATTAATAGACGGATTACCTGATGGCAAGCAATCGGTGTCGCCCATGGACACTCGCAACACCAAAGGAGCTAAGAGCGAGTAGTCAGTCTTTAAGAAGATAAGGGATTCGGATATTTAAGGATTGGGAAGGGATGAAAGGAGGGAAGGTAACCTCAATCACACGGCGTTTTACGCTGTTTTCTGTGAGGCCTTGATATAATTCGGGTCGAGCCGACCCATTCGTGCTGATAGGCATTCACGTATAAAGGTGGTCCCTCTATGTATGAAACCGATAGACTTACGGTAATACGGTTGTTTCCAACTAGTCAAATTCAATACTTTTATCCAAATGTAAAAAACGATACTTTTCTATGAAAATTGTATGAAACATTGAATTATGACGTCATAGCATTTTTGCGTCAAATAGCTTACTTATTTTTAAAAAATTAGCTAAAAAATATCTAAAACTTAGTGTATCGATCGATCGATGAATAAAAGTAAGTAAAACGTCGAATTAATTTATTTTTGACCTAGGAAACTACCCAATTACCGTAAGTCTGTTACAGTTAGTAACAGACTTACTGACTAAAACAATCTCACTCTCGACCTACCCAGGACAAGAGAAGTCATTGGACGACCCTCCCCCCCTTCCTCAAAAGAAAAACAAATCCGTTCTGGAGCAGTAAAAGGAATGAGGTGCTTATACTTAGTTAGTAATAGTATGCCAGAAATCGTTTAATTCGAGATTATGGATCTCCTCCAAGTCTAGATTCCTATATTTGCTCTTGAAATCATAGTTCAAAAAGCTCAATCTTATAAGATTGCTCTGTTCTCCATTGTGTATTTGTACCTGCCTATTTGCCTACCTAATTAGTTTTTTTTCATTTCAGACACCATGGTGGTGGTATATCACCAAAGCGTCCAGAATAGCTTCGGTATCATTGTTGGGCTCTTACTTAATCAGTGAATTTTAAATAAATAAATATTTATACCTTCGTAATATTGTTTTTATTGCAAAATTGCTGACCCTATAAGGTGCAATCACTTTCTACTATCGTCTCTAACGATCTCGCTAATGACGAAAGGTCCCCTATTCCCCAAATCTCCCCTCTACTTTTCTAAAACTTTCTTTCATAATAACCTTCTCCTGACGATAAGAAACATAACAAAAAATATTAATAATTGGTCCAGGCGTTGTTGAATTATGCGCTTACCAACACAATTTGCGATTCATTTTTATATAACGACTTACGTGGAACCAACCAACCACGAAAAGCTCTACTAGTTTCAAATTACAACGGGACTCTTATTCATGAGCAGCATGCGCGTCTAACTGGTCCTCTACTATTGGGCAAAGAGGCAAAGAGTGGTAATTGGTTTTCTAGTCCGGAATTAGAAAGATCGGCGGTGTTTCACGCTTGTACATTCACTATAATCACTCCTGCGTAGTCGAGTGGACCAGTCTAAATAGTGACTGACCAGCAAACCTAATCGAAGTTGATCGGGAATTAACGGTACCTAAGTAGACGGTTTTTTTGTGAGGGGAAAATCATCAAATGACTTCTCCCGCCCAGGGCCGGGCAGGAGGGAGTGTCAGACTCTTACTGACTAAAAACCCCCCTGTTCCTTCTCCTGCTCTGTGCCGAGGTCGCGGTACCTCATTGCACTTACCCCGCAACCCCGGCTGAACATCAGCCCTTTAGGGCCCCGTCTGTGGTGGTCTAATGGCTCTTTGAGGCGCGCGCGGAACGCTACGCGCCGTACGCTCGGGCCTGGTTCTGGTCGGGCGGCGAGCTGCCCTTACTCGCCGACCGCCGCAGACCCGTGCTTACGGTGGCCGGAGATCGTCCCTTGATCCCCGACGCCCGTAGTGTCGCCAGTTGCGGCGGCTGGGGCGTGAGGAGGAGGATTGCTCCCTCACGCGGGCCGCCTCTCTCTTTGCGAGCATGACTGCTTCACAAAAGGAGGAGACGGCGTCCCAGTTCCTCTCACTAAGCACAATGGCCTCGACTTAGGCCGGACGCGAGAGGTCGCCGCCGCCGATCACTTCCCTGAGGACACGGCGGTGCTCAGCCCAGGCAGGGCATACCGCCACCGTATGCTCCACCGTATCCTCTAGGTGTTCCTCGCAATGACGACACTCGGGCGTTTCCTCCCGCTGGATCCGAAACAGGAACCTACCGAAGCTGCCGTGCCCGGTAAGCACCTGCGTCAGGCGGAAGATGAGGACGCCGTGGCGTCTCTCAAGCCACTCCTCAAAGAGGGGTCTTACCGCTGCTATAGTAGCGTGCCCGGCCCTCGGTTGCGACAGTCGTTGTTTCCACTCTGCCATGAGATCTCGCCGGAGCTCATTCCGCCACGCACTCCACACATAGATTATGTCAGCCATTATTTAGATTGGCAAAGGTACATAAGTCGTTCATGGGATTCTGTGTTAAATGTTATAACAAAATCCCAGGCGAAATACCTACAACAATTAAATGAAAGAAATTTTAAATTATGTGTAAAGAAAACTTTATGTAAAAGCATACTACACACTGAATGATTACATTGTAGATAAAGATGCTTGGAGACATGCTGGTCCTGCTCCACAGGATAGCAAACCTACACCAAAATAAATAACGTTCCAGTGGATTTTGCTTGAACGGGACTTCTTCATTTTAGTGAAATTGCATTATATTGTATAACTATAACTTGATAAATTTGTAAATGTGAGTGCCATGTAACCTATTATAATTGGTTAGACTAGCAGAATGTCGGTCCTTATAAAAGCTTGGGGTTGTCATGCTCACTGAAAGGTCACGCTGGCGGTGGCATGGGCGCTGGATCGCTTAATTCCCTATAATATGGTTGAGTTGGGCGATGCTGGTGTACGTGTCATGCTCGTGAACGAGCGCCGTCAGTTGGGACTGGTCAGCTCCAGACTGTCTATTGTCCTTAAGGTTACCTACTTTATTTTTATATTTGAATAAGTATTATGCCCGTTTTCACCAACAGCTCCTAAAATTTAAGTGTCTCTTAAGCCAATATAAGGGGCACTTATCGCGAGTTTTGTTTTCACCAACGTTTAAGTGTCACCTATATCATTAGGGGTTCCTTATAATTTAGGGGATGAATTGACGACCCCGTAACGTTTAAGTGACACATAGTGTTAGGTTTTTTGCGAATCACCAAACAGTATTTTATCCTACTGAATAAGATAAAAAATAATAAAAATGGATAATAACCACTATTTATTTGAAGATTTTAAGCAATTGAAGATATGGAATTGTTAAGTAACCGACATTTGTATAGACGACCTCGTATTTATCGTGAAAGATCGAAAGATTTTGAAAAATATGATGAAAAAGACTTTTTCATAAGATACAGGTTCCCCGCTCAACCTTACTTGTATTTAAAGAAATAAATCTGTGGCACCGATTAACCAATTACTGTGTGCCCTTAGATTTTATGCAACAGGCAATCAATTATTATCTGTAGCAGATCTCAATCCCATCAGTGTATCTACTTGCAGTAGAATTATAAAAAGAGTGTCTGACGCTATCGTGGTTCGTGGCAAAGCGAATTCATACAATTTCCAGACACCGAAGAAAAACAACAAATAGTAAAAGAAGAATTCTACAGAATAGCTCGATTTCCAAATGTTTTAGGATGTATAGACTGTACACACATAAAAATTCAATTATAAGGTTGGGCGTTTAGAGAAGCACAGGTCCTTACGAGTAACCATTTATTACTGAATCTCCTATGAAATAATACATGATTTAATAAGATGGATAGACACGCACACATACAGATACGGCAGATCTTTGTGTCATATTTATTGAGCCTCCAGCGAATACCGTCGTTCGCACACCTATCGTCTTTCTATGATGTCTCTAATAATGATATTCAAAAGTATTTTAATTGTATTAACTAGAAACCTTCTTTACATTTATTCATGTGATAAATTTTAGGAGGAGATGATGCCGAACTATTGTGGAATAGAAAAAGCAGTATGTCTATTAATATGCAAACAATAAGTACTGCAAAATTATTAATAACTGATGTGGTGACTCGCTAGCCAGGATAAACAACATTCTTTATCTTCAAGTGAAAAATTTTGACCACGTTTCCTCTTTTCTGCCATTGTAATTAATAAAAATTTGGTATTTTTTGAAAATACACGAAATGATTGAAATGAAACTGTCACTGGATAGTGGCATCAAAATGTCACCGGCACCGCGTCACAGTATAAATATCATACAGTATTTTAACTCGGCCGCTTGAAAGAAATAAATACCTACAGCCGCGCGGTACGTAAACATGCGTTAGGGCTGCTCGTCTCCAGTATTTTAATTACCTTTGTCTACTTTCTGTTTCCATTTAGTTTTGTGATTGTAAATATCCTTTTTTTATATAAACAAATAAAGTGCTTTAAAAATAAACAAACAAAATTTCTTTGGCCACTAATGCCGAACTGAACAGCTGACTACGAATGTTCTAAAATCACAACCCTCAAACATCAAAATATTACATGAGTCTAGCTGTTTTATTGTTGTTATTAAATATTTTCTAGTATTATTCATAAACGCAGATAATAAACAAATACTTATTATTAATAATAAAATACCACACTCTCTACTTTGAATTAAACAAACTAACAAACCATACATGAACCGTTTTAACACAAGCGTAAGTAGGTAGGTAAATAACGTATGACGTCATGATTCATTCAGAACCAGAACCGCCTATAACTACCTATTTCACTCGTCTCAATAACTTTATTCATATTATTTATAAATTCAAACATCTGTTTTCGTGAGATAACTGGAAATAATGATCCATAAAGACACACATTATGTACCTACCTAGGCTACTAGTAAGTAAAATTATTTTATAGTCTTACCTTGCAGAGTTTCCAGGTAATTTAAAAAAAACTTATGTCTGGATTCGTTATTGCCGAATTCGTGCAACCAAACTTAATAACAGCACAATATTTCCTATTCGTCATATTAAATAATGTACTGGAGCTGATTTCTAAATAAAAGACAACACACCGTCCGTTCGTGACTGCGGTACAGCCGCGTCTGTCTGCGTCCCGAGCGCGTCCCGACATCGGGCGCGTAGGTATAGTTCGCGTTTCGGCCGTTTCTATGAAGTTGAAATACTTGTAGATATTATTACCTTGACCGCGTCTTTGTAAGCTATGGCATTCAACATACAGCCGAAAAATAAAAACACAACTTTTTGTTACTAATCTAACATTCACTAGTTCAAGACTCTTCTTTTCGAAATAAATCGAAGTTAGAAAAGTTAATTACTTGTTTTAAGGTTGTATATTTACGAAAATAACAATAGAATTGTCTAATCGATTCATTTATCGATAACTGTTTGCATAGTTCCTCAACACTAAACGTCACCTAATTAGGGGGCTCTTAGTTAGGTGACACTTAGGACAGTGAAACAAAATTTAAGTTAAGGGATGATTTGAACGGTCCCCTAAGTTAAGTGGCCCTTACTAAGGTGACTGTTTAGGGGCTGTTGGTGAAAACGGGCATTAGTGTTACACTGTTCTCACATAATTGAACCAACTGTTTGTAAAAGGAATCTGTATGTGAAACTGATTTAAAAAGAGTAACCATGGAGTTTCTTGCTCGTTCTTCTCCATCGGAATCTACACTTTGGAACGAGCAAATAGCTTCACTAAGAGGACTGACAGACAGACAGACACTATTTTTTTTTTAAATTTAGTTTGACGTTCAAAAGTGCCTGTAAAGGTCTAATTGGAATAAATGATTTTTGACTTTTGACTTTTGACACTAATTTGGCGCGGCAGAGGATCTTCGCCCTGGCGACGCGCGTCTGCGCGCAAATTGTAGACGCGCGTGTTATAAAAGGGGAAAAATATTAATAAGTAAATTATTAACTTTCAAGTTTACTAAATAATGAAGTACTGTAAATTAATCAGGTGGCTGATGTAAGTC